TATTAGAACCCTGATGATTTGGCATGTTGGGTAGTCGAGCATCAGGCAAATCTGGTGAAACCTGTACATATTTAAAATTGAATCATTTATAGTTTACCTACTACATGGCAGAACTGCTAAAACTATATTGTTAATATCAATAAATAAAGATATTGTGTTTGGTTTCAATTATATTATTCTTCTTCTTTTCAACCATATTATGTGACTAGACTTAGTAGTTCTACTTTCTACACCTCTATAGGAATCTTGTTTCCTACCTAGCTTTTAATCATAACAGCTATTCTCTTGTCATTAACTATATCATCTATCCATCTCGTTTTTGGTTACTCTCTTTTATTTTCTTCAACCTCATACTTCTTCCAAGTAACCTATCATCACAATATGATCGATCTATCTCAATTTATTGTTCCTGGTGTTCTCTAGACTACAATTGTTGCCTTTTTAATACACTACACTATAAGAATAGATATCCAGCCTAATCACTTCATCTTAGCACCCTTATTGATACTATACTTACCCACTATTTAAATATATTGTTACTATCTAGAATTTCATTATATAAAYCATTTAAAATTATCATATTTTTTTACTACCAACCATAAATACTAAAGTTGAACATATTTAATCCACACATAACATAATTTTCATCACATGCCTTTCCCAATCAATTTCATAATCGATTCATCTAAACTCATATACAATTTAMACAGTCTTACTCCTATATTCTATTTAAAAACAGTTCWACACTCTTTCAATACATCATACTCATAAATTTTCTCTAATACGTTCATATATATTTATCTTGCAGCTCTATAATTTGCCTTCATAAAATCTATAAGCTCCATATCCACATTTATATTATTCTGCCCTTACACATTCTACATCATATATAATATCGGTTCCATTATCAATTTTCCAGGCATAACCCCAAACTATAATATTATCATGTCACCACTTTATCCTGCAGCATACTACCCAATTCCTATACTCACACTAACAGTCTTTACTGTCACACATTTTATTACATTTGTTTGCCTATTCCAAAAATGTTATTTATACTTACAAGTTTCATGGTGTTAAACTTCAATTAAATTTAAATTATAAAGTAATTAAACAAAGCTATAAAATTATGATAATTAATTACCTGGGATTTGTGATCAGGAGTCTGCAAGTTATTCTGAATCAAGTAAGAATTTTTATAATTATAATTCTGTTGCTGTATACAGGTATTCATCGATGCCACTTGTTCGGCGATTTTTGCTAATGGATCACTCGGTATTGATTGTGCGAAATTGGTAGGATATGTAAGCGTATTTGAATGTTGAGGATGCGATGTAACTRATGAAATATTATGATTGTACAACGATTGTGAATACGAMGGGGCAGAATTTGGGTATTGAGTGTGGTTAATACTTGATTTACTGCAATATGGATCACTACACAAATTTTGATACATGTTTGGTGTACATGTATTTGCTACCTTTGGAAGTTGCGAATTCATAGCAATTGAATGCTGACGCATTGAATTTTGTTGACGTGAATAAAATTGATGTTGAGTAGATGTTGCATTTGTACTTCCCGCATTTGATGTTTGTGTTGTAGTATTAGAAATTGAAGGCCTTGTTTGCGAACCAATGGGTATTTGGGTATAATTAGAAGACAAATTATTGTAATACAAACTGTAATTCCGAGGGACAACTGTTTGCAAACCTACTGGAAGATGATTACCAGTATTAATGGAAGAATAATTATTGTAATATGGACAATAATTTTGAGAAACTGTTGATAAACTTAAATTCTGAGAGACTGCTGCTGATGCACTTAAATTCTTAGGAGCTGCGGATGAACTCGGCAACTGAGGGACTACTGGTGAACTCGAAATCTGAAATATTGAAGATGAACTTGACATTTGAGGGATTGATGATGACCTCGAAATCTTAGAGACTGATAATGAACTCGACATCTGAGGAATTGAAGATGAACTCGACATTTGAGGGATTGATGGTAAAATTGAAATCTGAGGGAATGATGACGAACTTGACTTCTTAGGGACTGATGATGAACTCGACATCTGAGTAATTGAAGATGAACTTGACTCCTTAGGGACTGATGACGAACTCGACGTTTGAGAGATTGATGGTAAAATTGAAATCTGAGGGATTGATGACGAACTTGACTTCTTAGGGACTGATGATGTACTCGACATTTGAGGAATTGATGGTAAAATTGAAATCTGAGGGAATGATGACGAACATGACTTCTTAGGGACTGATGATGAACTCGACATCTGAGGAATTGAAGATGAACTCGACATTTGAGAGATTGATGGGAAAATTGTAATCTGCGGGATTGAAGACGAACTTGACTTCTTGGAAACTGATGATGAACTCGACATCTGAGGAATTGATGGTAAAATTGAAATCTGAGGGACTGATGACGAACTTGACTTCTTAGGGACTGATGATGAACTCGACATCCGAGGGATTAATGATAAACTTGAAAACTGAGGGGTCGATGATGAACTTGACTTCTTAGGGACAGATGATAAGTTTGAAATCTGAGGGATTGATGATGAACTCGATACCCGAGAGATCGATGATGAACCATAATTAATATCAAATTCTYTAGGATTATTTGCAATCGTAAAATATACGCGAGGAGGTTCAATTTGTGATTTAGATTTTTTAGTTTTTGWTGGGTTTTTGTTTGCACTTTGGCGTTCATTAACATTTGATGATTCTATATTGATACCAACTGTTGTATTATTTTGGACAGTGGAACCTTCAATACTTCTTTTGGACATGGATGCATTCATTATTTTCAAAAGTTCACTGATATTACCATTAAACCATTTTGATTTGTTAACAAATGAATTTGAAAAACTAAATTCAGGACGTACAGATATTTTAGGATAAACTGGAACAGGACACATTTCCTCTATAACTTCCGACGTAGTTTGATTAGTAGTATCCATACAGTTGTCATCCRTTTCAAGTTCATTTGAATGTATAACGGAGATATGCGATGTTACATTGGTATCATTTGTAGCATGAACGCCATCGATTTCTAACAAGTCATCAATTCTTGTCAACTCAAATATTCCAGTCTTCTTAT